GGGGGGGGAAGGGGAAGAAACCATCATTGGAAAAAAAGTGGAAAATTAAGAAAAATGAGATGCCTCACCTGGACTGCTAGTGCACTCCCTCCAATTAAATCAAAACGGTTTGTTTTTAATGGTCTTTTACCTTGACAAGTGGACTATCATTTTGGGCCCTGATAGCTGTCAGAGAGCGGAGGCAAATTCTCCGTTGATAATGCCCAACGGTTCCAATTAGGCACCGAGGCCGTTCCTGGTGCGTTAATGATTCCCCAGACACTTTCCCGGCCCCTTCGGCACTCGCTGAATCATCTTGCCCCCCTCCTCTGCCACCGCAAATTACTGACACAAAACGGAGACACCCCGGCGTCTCCTGGCCAGGCCAGGCCCAGGCCTGTAGGCTTAATGAGCAAGGGAAGTTTTCTTCCCCCCTTCCCTATTTTTTTTTTCCGGGGGGGGGTGGCTTTTCCGTTAAATTCTTTTCTTGTTTGACAGCTGCTTGCATGTTGACCTTATAAAAGATTTAGCATCTCTCGTTATTTTTCTGCCAAGCGTCGCCCGTGATGGGTTGCACGGGAGCGTTGGCCTGTAGAAATGTGCGAATTGGTGGGGAAGCGGAACCTTGTACGCCTAGCGGTGCACCTTGCTGGAGAGGCGCTAAAAGGAGCCGCGGCAACGGACGTGTTTCAGCCCTGGATTCTTAGCTTAGCTTCGTTTAAACGTTCCTCCAGGCTGTGCAAAATGCTGAACGGAGACGCCGGACAAGGGACCTCACTTAGGAGTCCTTTAAAAAAAAGGGAGAAGCTAACTGTGACATCACACATCTCAAAAGTTTTGTTGTACAGGTAGTCCTCGACTTACAACCACAGTTTGACGTTATGATGGTGCTGGAAAAAGTGATTTACGACTGGTCCTCACACTTATGACCATCGCAGAGTCCCCATGGTCACATGATCATGATCATGATGCTTGGCAACCATCGCACATTTACAATGGCTGCAGTGTCCTGCAGTCACGTGATTGCTGTTTGTGACCTTCCTGGCCAGCTTCCGACAAGCAAAGTCAATGGGGAAGCCAGCAGGGAAGGTCACAAGTGGTGGTCATGTGATGTCTCACTTAACAACCACGCTACTTAATCATGGGTTTTTCCAGTCCCTACTGTGGACGTAAGCCGAGGACTACCTGCATCTAAGAGTCTTCCCAGCCTTCCAAGGGTGCTCCCAGAATTCCTAGCACCACGGAATTCTGGAAATCGTAGTCCAACCAAAGAAGATCACACCAAAGTCCACCTTGGTCCAGCATTTTGCTTCTCCCTGTGGTCAACCAGATGCCTCTGTGGTGTTCACAAGCAGGAGATGAAAACATTAACTTCTACAATTGTTCCTCTGCAACTGGTATTTAGAGTCATCTGCTCCCACCCCAGTGGTAACAAGGAGACTTCATGACCAATGTATTCAATGTAAGAAGCCAATTTTTATGGGTTCCTTTGACGCCCCCAAACCAGGCAGATAGGGCTAGGTTGGGTTGGCCCCTCTCACCGAACTACACCTTCACCTATTTATTATGAATGAGGCAGCTTTTATTCGGGTGGGTTACAATGTGTTCAAATATAAGGAACAACAACAATAGATCTACATCTTCCAAGATGGATGCCAGTAATTCTTAATTAGGGATGAAGATTTGGTGGAACAAGATGATCACCAGTATCTCCTCAATTCCATGGAGGGATCTCTACGAACCTCTGCAGATAAAGCTTCTGTAAATGAGGTTGGTAAATTGGTAGCTCAGTCAGCCATGTTGACTCAATGCAAAAGTCCCTTTCCAGTCCATTGTGCATGCTGAGTGGTGCTGCCCCCCCTCAACTCAGAGAGAAGGGGGGCATTTGTTGCTGCCCCAAGGCCATACTCTCAAGCACACCCCTACTTGCCAGAGTTTCTGGAATCTCTGGTCTGCAAACAGCGTTCATGTATAACTAACTGTGGCTGCTTGGTTCAGTAGGAGCCAAGGGAGATCCTGCCCCCACTTTGTCCCCCCCATAAAACAAGCCTACTTAGACAGGAGCCTAATTATGGATTTAGATGTCCAATTCGGAAAACGCCAACTGATCTGTGTTAATGAGATCTGAGGACTTAATATCTGCGTGTCCGCAATTATCTCTGCGGCTGGAGATTCTGTCTGCCAATCAGGAAATTACCTTTTGGTATCTGAATGGTTCATTAAGCCTCCTTGGGAAGAGTGGGATGAGGTGTCCGAGGTGGACCCAGCAGAGAAGACTTAATCAACCATTCCCAAAAGATGGAAGTCCTCTGAGATTGCTGAGTCTCCAGAGCAGAAAGCAGGATTGGAAGAAAAGAGAGAGACAGATGCCTTCTTAACTCATTCTGATCATTCATAACACTATGAGAACCAAAGAGGTGTAGTGCTGAAGGTGGAGATCCAGGTTCTAGTCTTCCATTTAGCATGGAAGCTAGCTAGGCAACTGAGTTTTTTGACTGAGAAGTCAAAAAACATCCATCGACCAACCCACATTGGACCAGCATGGTAGATTGTGGTCCATAACTTTCAATGAAGAGATCTTCATCAATGACTTTCAATGAAGAGACCTTCATCCTGCAGTGGATTGATTTGGGATGATGATGATGATGATGATGATGATGATGATGATGATGATGATGATATGATGATATTCCTCACCAGACTGCAAGCAGCTGGACGAAGGACTCTTTGTTCCCCAATTTCCTATTCCTTCAGAGCCTCCCTGGCTGCCCTCATCTGAACAAGACCTCTAGAAAGAGCTTTCTCCTGAGATCTTCCCAGGACCAAGGGCAATGTGTCAACATCCTGCTTTTCTTTGCCTCATCCTTTCTCCAGCCATCTGCAGCCTCCCTGATTTCCAACCCTTCCCTTCAATCCCATGGAAGGATCTCAGGATGGAGGTCCTCCCAGAGGGGCTTTTTCAGATGGGAAAGGGCAGGGGGCTGCAGAGGGTTAGAGAGATGGGGAACAAACTATCCTCTCTTGAACAACCACCTCCATCTTCCCTGGCTTCTCAACCTTCACATTGTCTATTGCTGGCCTACAAAACGTTTTCTTGGTCAAATTTCCATGAAGGCTGAGAACTCTGGTTGTGTTTACATCCAAGATGGTTGCCAGCTATCAGGCTGAGAAGGTGTGGATTGGAGACCCAGCTTGATGTAGCCATTTAGTGGTTGAACTGAAACAGCAGAAGCCCAGGTTCAAGTTCTTCCATGGATGGTCACTTCTTCTCAGCCCAACCTCCCCTACAGAATTAATTATTGGCCCCGCGAAGATCTGAGGTCTTTTCCATGTTGATCTTTCCATTTTATTTTTCTCACAAATCAGTCCACCTGGTGTCAGCTGCATTATTTTTCTGGGCTTGGCAAAGTTTCTCCTCTTTTTAAATGTCTTCTTTTAATTTTATCCAGATACTGGGCATACCTTGACGGGAGGGTGAGTGTTTGATCTGAAGAATAAAGAAGTGACACATGAAGAAATATTAGTTCAACCCATCTTGAGCTGGTGGAAGACACTGGGATGATTTTTAAAATGGCATTGAAAGAACGTGAAGGATAGAATGTGTGTGAAGGTTGCACGCACACAAAACACCTTTAATTCTATTGCTCTCTATTTATGTCTCTAGGAAAGGTAACATCTCTCTTCTTTATGGACCCAAGAAATCATTTGATCTCTCTCTCTTTCCCATCTCCTCTAGGTCAGTCCACACCTCGCAACCTTCCCGGATCATGCCTCATACAAGCGGGCGCTGGAGGTCTTCCGTTCAGAGATCCCTGTGAGGATCGGACCCCTGGCACAGGGCATATATACCACAGCCTGTTAAGACATAACTATAGGGGAAGAAGGGGGGGCAAAAGATTGATTAAATAAATAAATAAATAAATAAATACATACATACATACATACCAAGAAGGCTTAATTGCAAATTTCAGTTTTAGGACTGGAGAATGTCTGTTCACCTGGTGGTTCAACTCATGTTTGACCCAGTGCATTTATTTTGGTGATAAATGTTTCTGGAACGAGTTCATCTGAATTCTTTGGGCTGGACAAGTCCAGCTGATATCACACTGGAAACTAGCAAATCGGTTCCCGGCCCCTCCAGCTTATAATCCAAAAACTAAGCGATGGCCACGTTAGGCCGTGGATTCTCTTGCAAGAGGACTTCCAACCTACCTCCATAAGACCCATTAAACCTGGTTAGCCAATCAGCCCATCTTCTGGGCTTGCAAATGCCCTGATCCATAAACTCAGTTTGTCTGGCCAGTTAGCTACCACACCACAATTTGCCCAACTTAGCATGTTGTGCAAAGGCAACTGGGCTGTCTGAATGCAGCATCAAGGTCAGAAGCATTCTGACACCGGACCCCCCCCCCTTGAAATCCGACCGCGTAGACTTATCTCTTTCCAAATGTATTCCCTCACTTCTCCTCCTTGCAATGAATGCTTCTTATCTTATAGTGACACCCACTGGCAATTCTGAAATCCTTGTAAGAGCCTCGGCAGACCGATCCCTCCCCATCTCAGTCTTCTTGGGAGTGAGAGGGAGCGACGTAGCTAACAAAACTGCGTTTTGTTTTGTTTTTTAATAAGCTTCCTTTGAAAAATACCCTTCATTCTTAACCTCTAGAAAGTCACAATGAAATGGTATTCAGTGATTAACTCCTCCATATGGAAGAAACAAGATTGTGCTCGGTAATTGAATTTAACCGAATTGTAATTGTAATTACAATCGATCTAGCGTGGATTTCTCTAACCAGGCATTTGCCAAGATGCTGGAACTCTACTTCCCAGAATTCTTAAACAGCCATGAGGGATCATGGGAGTTGGAGTCCCAACACTTTTGGACGGCACCATGCTCAGGACTGAAACAGGGTTGTAAAATGTGCCCGGTTATTGTTCATAATTCTCAGGTTTTAGCCTCCTGGTAGCTCTGGAAAGGTGTTCCCAAGTTACAGATGAAGAAGCAAGGGGGAAAAAACCCCAACAACTTATCCAAGATTATAGCCAGTGATTCAAGATACGGAGATTCTGCGGACTTCCCATGTGGCCAGACCTGGTCAGTCTAGTCTAGCAAGATGGATGTTTTTGGAAACTCACAATTAAGGCACAGAAATCGCACTCACTCCTTGGTGCAGTTTCCGGTACTCTAGGACACCATTGGACCCAAACCAATTTTGTTTTCCTGCTAAATGTGTAACCCCAGACCAGCAAAACGCAATTAAACTTAAGAACGTATCAACGTTTCTCAACAAAAGAGAGGTTGTTGTAACAGTAGGGCAAGGAACACGTTTTTGTTCATTCGCTTTTAGAAAACAAAGCAAGTTTAAATATTTTCTTGCCTTTGATCTCCCTCTGCATGGCGGGGCAGTGAATTCCACAGGCAAATTGTGAAATTGTCAGAGCTAAACCACTCTTATATTATTATAACACAGCGCAGCACAACACGGTATGAAACCAGCTCACGAATGACATAGAAGACTTGATTCTCCCCAAGTCGTACGTCCTAAACTGTTCTAAATTATGGAGATTTCTATCATTGCAGCCCATCAACATTTGGTTTCAGTCAGTGTTGAACGAGACATAAATAACACCCCCTGCATTTCAGCGAAGGCTGCTAAAAGTTGCGGAAAGCCGCAGAACCAGATTTCAAAATTCGCAGAAGTCAGGTTGGCTTTGGGTCAAAGCAGAGACTCCTGGCACATTCTGGATGTGTTCATTGATAAATAACGCATTGACTCTTGAGGAAAGTCAACTTGGGCAACCTCAGTGGTGGGACTGCTTTCCCAAATTTTTATCAATCATCAATTAGGATCATCTGAGGTTGAGGAACCATCGGTACTCAGTTCAGATTGAGACTTGGTGTCGTCAACAAATCAACCGGGAACTTGGTTGATTGCCATTCTTCCACCACAACCCCCATCACCCCACTTGGTTTTTCTTCTCATTTTTCTTTTTTTAAAATATCTATTTAAAGTCAGAGCAAAGCTCAGTCAAGCCCCCTCTTCCCCTTTGAGCAGGGCTATCATTTTGGGGCTGCAGAAACTGGGTCAACCACTAGAGGGCACCAAGAATACCAGTGTTCTTTGCCCCTCTGCTGCCCCCTAGTGGCCTGATTCTAGATAGCTCTACGTTGGGTAATTCTTCCCCAGGAAAAGGGTAATGGGAGAGAAAGAGATAAGGAGACAGACGTTGGGACTGATTTCTCACACCCTGGAGCGTTTAGTTAATTTGCCAAGGGTCAGGTCCTTCTCTTTTAGCCAAATTCTTGTTCCTTAAGCACCTCTTGTGCTTAAGCTAGCAATCTGGGGAGGGCACTTTTAAATGCACCCTGCCTTACAGCTTGCAATCATGCTTGGAAAGCAAAAGAGGTGATTTCACCACGCCACCATCCCCACTCAACTTCACACGAGGAGTTGCCTTTGCACAACTCACGTCACCGGGTGGCTGAATAGGCCCGTTTTCCACATTTGCCCAACACACAAAACCCTAAATTAAAGAGGCTCAGCGGTATGCTGAGCTCAGGAAAGCCAGCCTCACCAGAGCGAGTCTGTGGTACCAACGTGGTTGCTAGGATGGAGAAAAAAATATATATACAAACACACACCTTTCCTTTCACACTTTCCTGTTGAGCTCTGGGAGGAGAGTAAAGTCGGATTAGAAACTTTAGTTGGTGTCTGGCGTTTGCCCCACCCCCTCTCTTCTCCCCGCCACCCCCCAGTTGTTCCTCTGACAGCTTGCAACCGGCCTTGACTTCAGATGGGAGCTGTACAAACTCCCGCTGGGAAGGCACCTTCCCGGCCCACCGTCGCCGCTTACAAGCTGCTGAGTCAAAGGGAAGTCTCAAGAAGGGGGTGGACGGGGGCTGGTGGAGGGGAGAGGGAGGAAGGGTGCTTTGCGAAGGGGAAGAGAGGAAGGGGGCAAGGCAGGAGGGTAGGGGAGGAGAGGGAGAGGAAAGGCAGAGGAGGAAGACAGGGAAGAGGCAGAAAGAAAGGAGAAGAAAAGGGGTAAGAAGAAAGGAATGAGAAGGGGAGAGGGAGGGGAAAGAAAGAAAGAAAGAAAGAAAGAAAGAAAG